GGCAAAATGACTCAGTATAGATATTTGCTATTTGATTTGTAGCCAATTGACAAGCTCAAGTTAGTGCAATTAATTTAGATTGTGAAGATTTTATTTTGGGTAAATAAGAACTTTCAATTATATCTGTTAAAGAAGTAATTGCATATCCAGCTCAATAATGTTCATCTTTAAGATATGATCATCTGGGGCGCCTGGGTGGCTCAGTTGGTTAAGCGACTGCCTTCAGCTCAGGTCATGATCCCAGGGTCCTGGGATCGAGTCCCGCATTGGGCTCCCTGCTCTGCGGGGAGCCTGCTTCTCCCTCTTCCACTACCCCTGCTTGTGTTCCCTCTCTCGCTGTGTCTCTCTCTGTCAAATAAATAAATAAAATCTTTAAAAAAAAAAAAAAGATATGATCATCTGTAGGAGCACTTGGGTGGCTCAGTCAGTTAAGCATCTGCCTTCGGCTCAGGTCATGATCCCAGGGTCCTGGGATCCAGCCCTGAGCCAGGCTTCCTGCTCACAGGGAGCCTGTTTCTCCCTCTCCTTCTGCCCCTACCCCACCCCCCCAAATTTGTGCTTTCTCTCTCACTCGCTCTCTCTCTCTCAAATAAATAAATAAAATCTTAAAAAAGAAAAAGATATGATCATCTGTAAACCAAATTAAGTCAGCATTATCAATGCGAGTCTCACATGAGTTATTTCTAGGAGTAAGAAGATAATCAGTTAATGAAATACAGTCATGATCAAGGTCTTCATGTAGATCTGGAGGTAAAGTTGCAGGGTTAAAGTTATTTCATCAAGCTAGAGTACTATTAGGTGTGGAGAGTAATACTACTTTTTTTTTTTTAAAGATTTCATTCATTTATTCGACAGAGAGATACACAGCAAGAGAGGGAACACAAGCAGGGGGAGTGGGAGAGGGAGAACAGGCTTCCTGCTGAGCAGGGAGCCCAAAGCGGGGCTCGATCCCAGAACCCTGGGATCATGACCTGAGCCGAAGGCAGACACCTAACGACTGAGCCACCCAGGCGCCCCAAGAGAGTAATACTACTTTTTAAGAGGCTAACTAACTGACAGAATAATGTTGAATAAGACGAGAGTATAGAAGAGATTCAACAGAATGTGGAACATAAATAGTTAAAGGGAGCCCATTATTATTTCCTCAGTGGCCTTGCATAAGAGTGTCGTTGCCAAAATTGCTCTCATACAAGGTGGGAGTCCTTTAGCCACTGAACCTAGCTGTTAGTTATAATATCCTACAGGTCGATGTTGATCACCAAGTTTCTGAGTTAGTACACTTAGAGCATTTCCTTTGTTTTCATGGACAAAAATGAAGAAAGGCAGGTCATAATTGGAGTGTCTTTGGGCAGGAGCTTGAGTTAATATGGATTTTAATACATCTACAGGAATACTGAAGAAGGAGTTACACATATCTATCACTATGAAAAGTAATGAATACTGGTTGGACTCGAGGAGAGCAAAGTATGTGGATTTGGAACCACTGAATGTCAAGGCACCACAATACTATTTATAGCTCTCAGATGTTGAACAAATCTCCAACTTTTTCCATTTGGCTTTTTATTGGTAAAATAGATGTTTTACAAAGTACAAGGAATTATGATATGCTAACTAACTGAACATAATTTTAAAAAAGGAATTATGAGCCCCCCTTTTAAGGTATTCTTGGATAATTGTCCTATTTTGCTTAACGCTTCTGATTTGAGTGAATATTATCAAATATTAGGTAATGGTTTAGTGTTATTGACAGTCACCTTAATAGGAGTTGCTGATTTAATTTTTCCAATATCAGAAAGAAAAGAGGACCATAATTTGGGGGGGAATTTGTAATAACAAATGGTTATCTTCCTGTTGGTTTGTTTGGTCTCTTTGTTTTGGTAATCATTAAGTTTTCAGACACAGGATTGTGATCTGTCATCTATGTCTGCTAAATCTAAAAACATTTCACCTTTTTGAGAAAAGGAGATATGAGCATTATATGTTTCTAAAAGGTCTTGTCCTATAGATGAATTGGGACACAATGGGCCAGCAAAAAGACAAGATTTCCTGTAATATTTCCTAACTGTAAAGTTACTGGTTCTGATTTAAATACTCAAATTGGCAGATTTGAAACCCCTACCACTTGAACTGAATTTTTACTCTGAGGGCAATGAAGAAAGGTAGGGTTGAGATATCCCATTTAAATTTGCAACAGTCTTACTTGAAATGTCCAGGGTTTGTGGGGTTTTTTACAATAATAGCAGAGGCAGTCATTTTGTTTTGATTGGGTTTTTGGAAAAGCAGTTTAGTGGAACCATTAAGTTGTTGTAAGTGTAAATTCACAACTTTAGGTGCTTTTTTTCTTTTCTTAAAAAGTTGATCCTCAAGAGAAACAATTGCATTAACAGGTAATGTTGCCTATCCTAAGTCATATCACTTTACTAACAAAGCCAATTCTTCATCTAGACCTTCTAGAAAGACTGAATTTAAGAGAGGATTACCTTGGGGCGCCTGGGTGGCTCAGTTGCTTAAGCGTCTATCTTCGGCTCAGGTCATGATCCCGGGGTCCTGGGATCAAGTCCCGCATCAGGTTCCCTGCTCAGTGAGGAGTCTGCTTCTCCCTCTCCCCCTTCTTGTGCTCTCTCTCTCAAATAAATAATCTTAAATAAAATAAAAAAAGAAAGAGGATTGCCTTGATGATTTTGAAAACTCTTGGCATTCATTCCAGAGTATCATTTAAATGTTTTTTTGAATCTTTCAAAATAGTCAAAAATAGCTTCTCCAGGCTTTTGTTTACATTGCTGAATTTTTGCCCAATTTACCTTTTTTGGGAAAATCTCAGGGATTGCCCGATATAAACTATGGGCAGTTCTACAGTTTTCAAGATCAATTGTTTCATGTCTAGGGAAATCTCCCATTGGTGTTTTCCATTCTGCCTTATTTATCTATCCTTTTGCTCTATTCTCAGATATGAGCATATGCACAAGCTGGTGTAAGTCAGAGTATCCAGGATCATATGCCCTAACTGCTAAATTGAATTCTCCAGCAAAGCAATGGCATCTTCTAAAGGGTCCAGGAAATGTTTATTTTTTTTTTAAGATGGTATTTATTTGAGAGAGAGAGAGAACATGAACAGAGGGAAGGGTAGAAGGAGAGAGAGAAGCAGACTCCCCACTGAGCAGGGAGCCCGATGGGGGACTCCATCCCAGGACCCTGGGATCATGACCCGAGCCGAAGGCAGATGCTTAACCGACTGAATCACCCAGGCAGCCCCAGTCTTCAAAGTTTTATTGCCAAATCAAAGCCAAATATGAATTAGCTAACCCACGTTTTATGCCCTTGTTCATAGGTTTCCTACCCAGAAAAAATCTTACTGGTATAAACAAAATCAGTCTAAAAACTGCTTGAATAAAAGTCAGGTTTGTCAACTTAAAATAAGGAGGTCTGGATATCAGAACTCACTGATCCACTCAAAGGTTGCTGAGAAGCCACAGGGGTCCAAAGGGCCCATGTTGGTACCAAGTGTCAGGTTCAAGCAGACCTCAGGTGGCCTCAGGTGGATTTCTCTGATATCCTACCAGCTAAGCCAAGAAATGTCCATGCAAGTTGACCAGAAAGAACTCTAATATGATTTTAAAAAAACAGAGAGAGTTTTGTTCTAACACAGATTAGGACAGCTGCCCAGGAAACATGATATTCACAGGGGGAAAAGTACTCCAGGGAATGAACAGTTTTAACACGGTTATATACTTTTTTTACATAAAAATCTGTAAATCGGTATGCCAGAGATAAATTCTTTCAAAGAGATTAGATTAACATGTAAGCAGGAATCACTAGTTTTAATGTCATGTAATGTAGGGAGTAGGAGCATTGATCAATATCTTAAGGACAAGATGTTTTCCTATAAGCTACTCATTTATAAAGCAGATGTACAATGCATACCTGATGGGCCATAAATCAGGCTTCTGGTTGAAACAAATTTTTATGTACAGTCATGCTGACTTAGAAAGAAATCTAAAATGGCCTCCCTTATATCAGGCCTTTAAAGAGTTTTTCTCTCATCAATTCTACATCGGACACAAAGGTGATAGGGTCAGAATCCTCATACAAGGTAGAGGAAGTTAAGCAACATGACAGAATATAACCAAATGACAAGGAGAAAGATACTTCACCTGGCCAAGGAGAAATCAGACAGGCTCCACAGAAGAGTTGAGATTTCAAATGGTACTTGACCTGCTAGCATTTCAACTGTGGTCCTACTCTGCCTTCCCTTTGTCTGTTAATGACCCTACCATTTTCCCAGCCATCCAGATTCAAAAGTTTAATTATTTTCTTTCTTCCTCTCCTCATCCCCAGTCCTTGCTGAGGCTTGTTTCTGCCTATTCACTGTCATTCATCCACTCCTCTAGTCCAAGTCTGAGCCTCTACACCTCATATGGATAGATGCCTTCAAACTTCCCCGTTCCTCCTTGCTCACCATCCCTAAATCTGTCCTACACAAACTAAAAAATTAATCTTCCTTAATGACAAATCTAATTACATTTTTAAAACTTTAAAGACTTCCCTTTGTCTTCAGAATTCAATGACAGAAGGCAGTTCCTCCAAATGTTTTACTTCTCACAAACAGAACATCTTCTCTCTAATGATAGCTTATTGAAACCTCCAATATTGCTATGCTAATTAATTCATTCTTCCAGCAAACAGCTGTTCAATGCCTAATATTTGTTGAGAAATCCAAACACTAATGAGAATCCCAGTGCCTTCAAGGAACTTACTTTCTAGTAGGAGAGGAAGACAAGAAAATTGTGTCAAAGTCCTATGATCCCAGTTGTAGTGGTTTTTCAATGTGTCCCCAAATTCTTTGACATTCCTATGTCTCCTCCCCCTAAATGTGGCTAAGGGCTTGTACTACTCCAACAATAGAGAGTGCAGTGGGATTGATCCTGCATGACTTCTAAAGTTAGGTTAGAAAAGGCCATCCTGAACCCACCTGGTCCTCATGGCATACTCACTCTTGGAACCCAGAGGCCATGCTGTGGGGAAGTCCACGCCACATGGGGGCCACAAGTTTGTGTTCTGGCTGAGTGCACTGAGGTTGCAGCTGTCAATCAGCACCAACCTCAACACCAGGCATGTAAGTGACAAAGCTTTCAAGAAGACTCCAGCCCCATCTGACTGTAAACATGTGAGATACCCTGGTGCAAACTGCTTAGCTGAGCCCAGTGAACATCCAGAGCTGAGAGATAATAAAGAAAAAAAGCATTTTTTGGTTGATATTTTCATTTATGTTAATAAATAAAGAAGTAAAAACAAACAGAAGTAAGACATAATTCAGAACTTCATCCATTCATCAAAAATGTAAGCATTTATTTCTTTAATCAGATAATAGTTTTCAAATACTGAAATAATATTTCATCACTTTTTTTCTCCTGTATGCAATGTTACAGCTATAGTTTATTCTGTGTTATTAATATTTTTCCATCACTCTCTTAAGTCTAGATAATCAACAAAGCAATAAATCAATGCAGTGTTTGCCAATTTCTATGGTATACAGCTTTCCACCACAGCCAATTTTAAGGTACCAACATGATATTATAGAACATAGAGTTGAGAAGGATTGTGCATAGCACACCATTATATACTGTTTTCACCATATAGTTACAATAGGTGGGAAAATATCAAGAACATGGATAATAGTGAAAGTAAAACAATGATTTTAATATAGTTTCTTAAATTATAAGTTCATATGAGTTAATTTTTCATAATCATTATGTTTAGAAAAAAGAGTATTTTTGTTTTAAGCCATTGAGTTTTGAAGTGATTTAATTTTTCTGCAATAGCTAACTGGAACAGCAGTAGAAATGAGATGTTACACGAGTGTATGGAAGTATTTCTATCCCAGATTTGAGTGAGGGAAGACAATAACCCCTGAGTCCCAGCATCTCTGAGTCAGGGCACTCATCCTCAGAGAATGCCCACTACTTCATCATTTCCACAGGAAGCTGAGCAGCCTTCCCCAACACCCAATAACCCAATATCTTCCTGGTGAAACACTCAGGTGAGGGACTCTGGTCTTGATCCCAAACTCACACTTTGCTCCATCTAACACTTTGCATGTCTTTTTCTAGGAAGATCTTTGTTCTTTTTTGAAATTCATTGTCTGAGTTAGAGCCCTTTTGATCACTTTATAGGAAGCCCCATTTCCTGCTGTTATTCCTAGGAAGCTCTATAAACTGCATCCATATTTTCTTTCCTTTTGAAATTCTTGCCAAGCTTCCTACACCAGCCCAGGGCATCTCTTCAACCTTAGTTTCTTTACAGCTAACTAGTATTCTCAAAATCTGCAATGATCTCTGAGCCTCCATTTCCATTCCAAACACCCATGTTGCAGATATATACAGTGGCAGGATGTATACAAATATTAGATGAAGTCCTGTATTAGGTAGGCTAATGAAATAGCAAATAAATCTAAAAAACTATTTTTGCTCAAATACAATGGAAATTTATTGTTTACCCACATAAACAGTCCAAAATGGTGCCAGGTCAACAAAGCAGCTTTAAAGTCCTGACCATTTTCAATACATTCTTTCCAGGGCCATTGCAAGTAAGAACATGGAACATCACACAGTGGGAGATTTCTATGGGCCAGGCCTGGGTGTGGGCCACATAATTGCTACTCATATTCCATTGGCTAGAACTCAATCATGAAGTCATGCCTAACTGTGGGCTGTGTGCCCAGAAGGATGAAGAGACCAGAATTTGATGAGCCACTAGTAGTCTCTGCCAATGCCTCCAGATATAATGCATATTTCCCCAAGCTGTGGATATAGATGAGGTCCCAGTAACATTTTTCTGTCTCTTGGCCTCTACCCACTTATGTTGGGTCTCCAGCCCCACGTTCACAAACACTCTTGTCTGCTATCACCTGGCAACTTCACCATATACTGTAGGGACTGTAACATCCTGGAAGGATGGATGGAAGGAACCTCCTGCTATCACACAGAAGCCCATTAAAGGCTAAATCTGCACAGTAATGTAAAGTGAGGAAAGTGAAAAAGTTAATTTGTATTAGTGAGACCCACAAAATGGAAGCTGCTCCAGTGGCCTGGCCCAGGTCACAAAATTAAACCTAAGTCAGCCTGCACTTACAGAAAAATGCCTCACTGGTGGGGCACCTGGGTGGCTCCATCAGTTACATGTCTGACTCCTGATTCTGGTTCAAGCCATGATCCCTGGGTTATGAGATTGAGCCCCGCATTGGGCTCTGCACTGGGCGTGGAGCCTGCTTAAGATTCTCTCTCCCTCTCCATCTGCCCCTCCCCCTCCTCTCTCTGTCTCTTAAATAAATAAATACATACATACATACATAAATACATAAAATTTTAAAAATAAGGAGAAATGCCTCACTGTCAAAGAAACCTAACACCAATCACAATCTTCCCAGTCAGTCAGCTTCAGCTTACCTAACCCTAAAAAGTAGGAATAAGGAAATCCCTGACCTCCATGCCAATCATGAGTAGCTTCTGCTGGTGCTCTATAAAATTGCTGTTACCCAAACATCCCTCTGGAGAGCGTTCCACTGCTTCTGAGGCACTATACTCCCATCCATAGATTGTTTTCTCTTCAATAAAAAATATCAACTCACTACTAAATTTGGTAAAAGTGACAAAACTCACTACTCATTTGACAAAAGTCATATAAAGAGAGAAAAACACTTGCTTCCCTCTTTGATTATTCCTTCTAAAGAGTACCAAGGCAGTGTGTAGGGGGGTACCAAAGTCTTACAGGATTTTCTGTGATATAATTCCTACAGTTTTACATACAGCCTCCTGGATCCAGGTATGAATTCATGAGGCCTGGGGTGAAGATCAACTGGAGTGACATGCATTGAGCATGAACTCGGTAAGTCAGTCAGTCAGTTAACAAATACTTATTGAGTATCTACCATGTGTGAGGCTCTGCTAAACTCTGGATATACAGTATAACAAAATAGACACAGTCCTTGTCCTCACAGAAGTCACAGTCTAGTTTGGGGAGAGTCTCACATACCTCTGACCCTGAGATTTTGTTACTGATTTCAACATAGCCAAGTTCTTTTTCCCTTTGGGTGAGCTCTCTTCCAGGAAGCTCCTAGAGAAAATAGATTACTGATATGCCCACCTCACCCATTCACCAGAGAGAAATAGACCTGTCTGCATGCCAGGTTAGGCTGGGATCACCACCCTCAGCTTCCCATTACATGCGTGAAGCCACCAGAAAGGATGAAGCCACTGAAAGAAAATATGTCAAAACAGAGGCTATAAACTAATGGACTGTGACCAAACCTGACCAGTAAATGTGTTTGGTTTGCCTTATGTCCTATTGGCCTATGTAACATTTTTAAGATTTTTAAATTAGTGGTCAACATTGAAAACAGAAGGTTACACACACACACAAACACACACACACATACACACATGCTTTTATTTCCAAACTCTTTTGGAGAAAGAATATCTAGCCTGAAGTTCCACATGAGGCATACACTACTGTTTTCCATGGTCTCTCTACTCCTTATTGTCCCTGTCAATTGTCAGTTGTCATTTGTTGCTGTACTTTTCTTAGAGAAAGAGTTAAGGGAACTATGTTTATAGCCCTGTATTTATCAAAAGTGGGAAACCAAAAACAAAACAAGTTAACAAGATTAAGGAAAATGGGAGAGAACCTATTTCTTCATGGAAGTAAAGAATATACCTACCAGATTTCTATGAAAAAAAGGTTCTGTTGAAGACACCATTATGGAACTATATATATATGACCTACTTCACTTTTTCACATTATCTGCCTGGCTCTGTAGGCTCTGAAGTAAAGTAGGTAGGGGTCTGATATAAAATAGGGGTTGAGGGGTGTGATATAATAAGAAATATAGGGGTGCCTGGGTGACACAGTCAGTTAAGCACCTAACTTGGTTTCAGCTCAGGTCACAATCTCAGGGTTATGAGATCAATCCCTGCTTCAGGCTCTGCACTCAGCATAGAGTCTACTCATGACTCCCTCTCCCTCTGTCCCTGCTCCTCCCACCCCCACCCCACCCCCACATGTGCTCTCTCTTTCTCTCTCTCTCAAATAAATAAATCTTTAAAAAAATAAAGAAGAAATATATTTGGTCTTTGTCCCCAGTTCCAAGTACAAAGCTCCTAAAACCCTTAGAATTTCTTGAGTGATAAAAGTGTCTTTTGGTTTTCATAAGGGACCACTTTTAATATTATGCTAATGAGGTGACTTAGGGTGGAGCCCATAGATGGCCACAGGACAGGGCTGACCACCAGAAAGACCAAATGATTAGAGGGCTAGAACTTTTAGCCCCTTCTACCAACCTCTGAGAAGGGGAGAAGGAACTGTAGATTAAAGCTATAAAAACTCTTGAACAGGAATTTCTGGGATGGTGAACACATGGACGTTCTCAAAGACTGTTCTAACCAAGGGCATGGAAGCTCCATGCCCCTTCTCACATGCCTGGCCCTATGCATCTCTTCCATCTGGCTGTTTCTGATTGTATCCTTTTATAATAAAAGCGATCCAGTAAGAAAAAAAACTCTTGAACAACAAAATTTGATGAGATTCCGGGCTGGTAAACATATCCACATTTGGGGAGGGTGCTGCACCCCAGTTTCGTGGGGACAGAAGCTCCTGCACTCAGGACTCTTCCAGACCTTGCTCTACGTACCTTTTCATCTGGCTGTTCATCTGTATTCTTCATAATATCCTTCATAATAAACTGGTGTTTAAAAAAAAAAAAACCACAGACCCAACACGCATCACTTAAGACCCCAAGTCAGTAAAACACTTAATACCTAAGGTAACTGCAAGTTTCAACCCTCCAGGAATGTAAGCTTTAGCCAGTCAACATGGAATTTCCTGGTCATTTAGAGGCTGCTTTTAGGCTAACAGCCTTGAGCAATGGAATGTGGAAATGGCTACAGAGACCACCAGGCTGAATACAGTAGGCCCTTGGGCTACTTACAACTAGGCACAGTTACCAAAAAAGGAAAGATTCCGTATGGTGTCATACCTCCTCATTTTCTCCCTTTAAAAACAGCCCCCACCCATCAATGCCTCCTTGCAGACAGCTTCTCCTCTGCTGTCCTACCCACTACTCCTAGGCTCCATGCCCAGTGTGTAGCCCAAATGGGGCTTGAACTCACAACCCTGAGATCGAGACCTGAACTGAAATCAAGAGTCAGACACTTGGGGCACCTG